GGTGGGTGCAGTGGGCTGTGGGGTCGACACCCAAGCAAATCACTCTCCGTGGGCAGTGGAGACCTGGCAGGGGAAGATGTCACACACACTAGACTGCGTGCATGACCAGACATCTTATGGCTACACTAGACTCACATCAGACAAGAGGAGCGTGCACGCGTGTGAGGAATCCGTGGCAGGGAAGTAAATGGGAAAACGAAGGAACATGTCAGACATGCTGAGGAGAGGGTCCCATAGGACCCATGTCTTCCTGTATCTGTGAGGGAAAGGACAGAGGGAATAAAATAGGAGTCTTGGCTGTCAGGTTTGGAGACTGCAAAGAAGAAGGGGCTCCCCTGAGTGAGGACAGGACAACAGAACCAGCAGGGAGAGGTGATAATTAATGTGTGTGGAAGACACTGGGCAGGTGCCATCATGGCAGTGAATCCCTGTGGTCACAGCTGAGAGTCCAGCTCCTCCCAGGCGGAAAGTGGCCATAAATGCTCATCCCCTTCAGGGCCCTTAGGAGGGATTAGCTTGCACCCAGAAATATCTCAGCAGAGCCTGGTGTGCGCCTGAGAGCCCTGTGGCTGGATCCTGTGGAGAAAGGGAGGGAGACAAGGAAAGGTCCCCCAGGGCACTCTGGGACCCATGCAGAGAAGCACTCTTTTAACAAGTGTGGATTCATTCATTCTCCCCAGTCCTGTGGATCCAGGAGCTGATGCCCAAAGACCTCACCCCTCAGCTCCTTCCCTCCCATTCCTCTCCCCAGGCCTGGAGGCCTGTCAGTGGCAGCCAAGGCCAGCCCAGGGGTCCTGGGGCACAGAAGCAGGGACTGCATGGTGGTCTTGGGAAAGGAGGACATGGGGTCTCTGGAGAGGGGGCTCCAGAGACTCCAGACCTCAGGGAACAGGATCTAGAAGGATAGATGATACTGTGTGAGTCATTGATTAGGGCTCTCTTCCTCCTTCTCCTCCTTTGTGATGCAAAGTGAGGCCAAGTGTAGTAAAAAAGATACATATACTCTGCCTTTATTTTACAGGAAATACATTCCCGCCCATTGGAGAGGCTCCACAGGATGGTTTGTTTGACTTTAAAATGAGAGGAAAAACCAAACAGAAAGAAACAACAACAACCACACAAAGTGTGAGCGCCAAGGGCTGCGCTGCCAGGGCTTTTTACATATTTGACCCAGAGACAGCATTTTATGGTAAAAGCAGGGCATTCAGACAATGTGGGTCCTGAACTCCAGGCTCACTGCCGGTTCCAGGCAAACAAACACAGCTTTGGTGTGAAATCTCTGTTATGGAGGGGAGGCTCCTCAGAAAGTTAATCTCTTTAATTAGCTTTCTCATTTCTCTTATCCGTGGGGGCTGGGATAAGCAAAGATACGCATCTAGAGGGGGCCTGGCTGGCTCAGTCCCTGGAGCATTGACTCTTGATCTCAGGGTTGTCAGTTTGAGGCCCACGCTGGGTCTTGACATTACTTAAAAATAAAATCTAAAAAGAGAATATATATATATGTGTAATGATTCCTAAAACATAGTATGATGTTGTGTGCTGCCATCTGGATGGATTTCATCTTCTGTTCCACATGTCTTACAAGGGAAAATGTGTTAGTGATGTGAATACGTATTAGTATTAATAGACATTCTGGTTTACATTTTAGAGGCTCCATGGGCACCGTGTGTAAGGAAAGGACAGAGTTCCAGCGGGGCCCCATCTCATGCCCGAATCCCGGGGAATGTGTTCTACTGCTGTCACCAGTGAAGGGATTAAGCACCTCTGGACACGTGTCACTGCTTGGAACCCAGGGCCCCAGGACTTTGTCCCCCCCCCATGTGTCTCTGTCACTGTGCTTAGCGCCACACTGGCATACACCTGATAGGAAGCCCCACAGAAGCTTCTCGATGAAGAGGACCAGAGAGAAGGGCCCAGGGGTTTCGGTCTCACTTCCACGTTGTCTGAGACGCTGTGAGGAGCGGTAGCTGCGCCCACTGCCAAGAACTACAGCCCAGTGAGAGTCCGCCTCGGCCTCAGCCTGCAGCCCCAAGATGCGCAGAAGCCCCGCATTGGCCGAGGCGTCTTTGGAGCCCGAGAAGCGGCCGGGGACCCCGGAGCCCTGGTGCTTATCGGAGTCTGAGGAGAACCTCAGCAGATCCTGGGGAGGGCTCCCTGGCCGCTGCTGGATCCAGTAGATGTCAGAGCCGCCCACACCGATGTCCCTGCTCAGGGTGCAGGTGAGTCCATCAGTTGCTTCTAGAGCTGCAGAGAGGGAGGGCGGCCGGGTCAGCACGGGCCGAGAGAGGTGACCGCAGACACAGATCTCATGGGTGATAGGGCAGGGACAAGGGTAAAGTTTCTCAGACTCTGTGACTGAGGAGCTGACACCAGCTGTAGGGCTGTCTTGTGTCCCTGAGGCCTGTCCGACGGTGCCATGAGAAAGGAAAACAAGAAGGACAGGAATCCAGGCCATGGTGACACAGACACAGGTCCCCACAGTGGGCTGGGCTGCCCCAGGCCTCCTTTTCTCCTCTACCCTCCGCCACAGGAGGGGCTGTCCATGCAAACGGGGTCCACCTAGTGACTGCCCAGCCCCTCCCGGAGCCCTGGTGCTGGAGCTCAGCTCACAGACACACTGAGGAGGATGGGGGTTGGCCTCACCCCTGGGGAGAGCCCTGGGAGGACGCACCTGCTGACAGGACCACACAGGTCCCTGCTCTGGAGACTCTGCCAGACCAGAGAAGACACAGCGGCTGAATCCCCATCAGGGAACACAAGACCCAGTCTCCTGTCCCAGGCTTCATTGAGTGAAACTCCTCCCTGAGCCTCCGCGGAGGGTCAGCCACAGTCTGGACCCACAGCACCCCCTGCTGGTCCCAGGGTGCACACCTCACAAGGCCCAGAGCCCTGAGAGCCCCGCTGGTTTCTGCACCTCACCAGGTCCCTGTCTGTATTTACACATCCATGTTCTGATTTCTAGTACAGGTTTCTTCTGCAGTCTGACGGTTGAACATTCCTCCAAATCCTTTCTTATTTTAACATGGCATAATGTGAAGGAGTATTTGCAATCAATTTATATGATTTTTTTTATTTCCCAGACCTAAAAAATAACTCTCTTTGGCTTTTCTGACACATTAGGAAACATATTTCTAGCCGATGCAGAAAGTAAATGGAGATAAAGCACAGATACTCACAGAGAGTTCAAACATCTGGCAGCCTGATGCTACGACGGTAAGTGAAGTTCTTTTTTTTTCAGTATGATCAGATAGCCACCATAAAGTACATCATAAGTTTTTGTTGTGGTGTTAAACGATTCATTAGTCGCGTATAACACCCAGCGCTCATCCCAATAAAAAGGTGATTGAATGCTCATTTCTGAATTGCTAGTAAATTGTTTAATGAAATTTGCATGATCATTTTTTCCCTTTATAATCATCTGTGTTCAGAGACTTAAGTGACATCAGACATAAATATTCATATTAAATTCAATGATATTTATTAAACAAAGTTATTCCTGAAGAAGTAGTTAATGTGTAACTGTATGTATGAAATTTTGAGATGAAGAGAACCTAAAACTTAAGGGGAAACGGAACAATTAGAAAGGATAATTGAAACATCTGAAGATGTATGTATCTGTTCTCATCCATCACTACAGAATGATGAAGCAAGTGAGAAGAAACAGAACAGTCATACATACCATCTATGGGTATTGCTCATAAGGAAGCTGCACGTATTGTGTGGTTCATCAAGGATGAGCAGGGACACCATGGTTTCCACAAGGATTCCTGGCCACTAGAGGGAGCCCTGAGACAACCCTGCTGGTTGTCCCAGTCATTCTCCTGGGTCCGCATTACTGAATTACCGTCCCTGAGGACTGTCTTGGGGGCAAGTAGGAGCCAGTGCTGAATGGGAGAAGTGGGAAGCTGGATTAGGGAGAACCAGGGCACCAGGAGCCCCTCACAATGAGAAGGACAGACAGCAGCTCTCCAGATGTTCCATGGTGATGCTGCTTGATGCAGCCAAGTGCTGCCCTTGGGCTGTGCTTTCAATCCCTGAAGGACATGCCCATGCACCCCTCCTGCCCTGGGCTAGGGTAGCAGTGAGTCCCAAGGCAATGTGTGCAGTGACCCCCCCCTGCCCCCACCCCACTTTCTCATGGAACCAGAGCTGAGGGCTCAGGGGCTCTCTCGCTAACCGGGGCAGCTGACGTACTGTGCATATTACTTACCTCACATCTGCTGTCCCTGCAGGTTCATGCCCTCAAAATCTTTCCACTAGTGTCCTCATGGAACGCCTTTCTATGGATTGAGATTTGTGAAGGGCAGAGGAATCCTGGCCATGCTGAAGCCCCCAGACTCTGCTTGCAGAGGACAAGTATTTGGAAATCTGACACTCCCATCCGCAGGTGTCACTGATCCTATGACCATTTGCCTTCATAGGCCAGGTATCTTCATACAAATCTGTCCCTGTGTTTGACTGTCCATCTATCCCTGCCTGGACGTAGGCCAGGATGACAACTCATGATGATGGAGGATGAAATTTGATGCAGGGATGTGAGTCAGTGCTGAGTACTCATGTGGTTTCTGGGGACCGAACAAGCAGAAAGTCTCACTTCGCTGAGGATACTGCTTGGTCAGTTATGCAACACTCAGTAGAGTATTTTCCTCGTTGGCTTAGCCAGAGCCCTGTCCCTTGTGGAAAAGCTCAGCAGTGCCCCCTGCTGAGCTCAGAGCCCCCCTGACACCACCCAGCTCTCCTGGACCATCCTGATTAAAACTGGAAATTCCTTATTTTCTTTTGCTTCTCTGATATATTTAACATATTTTTAGGGGAGTTTTGTAATTGTTCTCAGTAAGACAATTGGTATAAAAAAAATCATTGCTATGGTGGAACCTCCTCTGAATTAGAGGTCCTCCTTCCACTTCTGAACTGCAGGACCCTGCAGTTACTCACCAGCACAGGGTCTGATCAAGTTTGTTGAGAGCTCCATGGACCATCACTTAGAAAAATAAGAGTATCTAGAAATTTTCTTATAATAAAAGTTTATCTGATAATGGGATTTGGGTTCACAGGATCTAGACCTGCAATAACAGATTTATTTAACCCCATCCCAACCAAAGAACCTGAGAGAGAAAGTATGTGAACTCTCGATTGGACAGAGAGAAGTGAGCATGTCTGACGGCCCTGTCCTCAAAGGGGAGGGGTCGTCTCCTGCCCCAGGCATTCCCATGATGCCCAGGGCACCATTGGAAGAGACAGAGAAACACAGACCCGCCAGTTTCATAGTCAGGAAATGATCAGCTAATCCTGGGACAGGACCATGGGACATGTAGGGAACTTGGCAGAGGGGACTTGGGTCTCTCAGGTCACAGTCCCATATTATTGCTTTCCTTACCATCCCCACCCAACAGGTGTGGGGGATACTTTTGCTTCTTGAGACAAAGTGAGTTTGTTTGGACTGGGACACAGTAAGAAAGGTTATTTTCTTTTTTTAAAAAAGATTTTCTTTAAGAGACAGAAAGCGAGAGAGCATGATGGGGGCTGCACAGGGAGAGGGAGAGGCAGACTCCCCATTGAGCAGAGAGCCTGATGCTGGGCTTGATCCCAGGGCTCTGGGATCATGACCTAAGCCTAAGGCAGATGCTTAACTGGCTGAGCCATCCAGGCGCCCTGAAAGTAAGTTATTTTCATGGAGCCCATAAGACAGACAGAGTCAAGTATGTGGAGTTCTCTGGTTTCTGAAGCACAAGCTACACCGGAGAAGTAGAGCTGCTGTTGGTCACAGGCAGGGGTCAGAGCATCTAATGGGGGGCAGATGTTTTTCTTACATCCCTGTGGAAGGGTAGCTTTTGTTAGCAAAGGGGCTGTGCTCAGCTCTGTGATGCTGGGAGTCAGTCTCATCCTCAGGCTGCAGGTCAGGGGTGAAAAAGGAGGTCATGATGATAAACCAGGAGCAGGAATGTTGGCCTGGGATTCCTGAAGACCCATCACTGGTGTCCTAGGTCACAGAGTCAGGGGCTCTGCCTGGGACACCTTGCTCCCAGCCATCATGATAATCTCCAAAGTGTCTGCTGCACTCTGTGTGACCAAGGTGACTCATAATTGGGACCCTGCTGAGAGCTTCAGAGGAGGTGTTATTGCACATATTAGGGGGTTTTTGATACTTCACCACCCTGGCTGATACCCTGCATGCGTAAAAGCCCCTACAGGGCAGAAAAGGAGAGGAGGACACACGTCACTTCCCATGGGCTCTGGAAACCCACCCATGGGAGCTCATGAGGGGCGAGCAGTATCACCTGTGGGGAAGTCACATATGGGACTCAGCGGTTTCCTAGGAATGCTGGATTCTCTCCCCTTCACCCTCCCCAGCCCCTAAAATAGGTTTGCTGGCCTCAGGTAGCAAATGTCCCCCATGCCTAACCCCCGTCTCCTTGACATGACAGTGGAAGACACAGACAGCACGGCAGTGAGCCAGGCCAGCTCTGAGCCCCGACCTCCCCCAGGCCTGCATTTGCCATCTTCCTGCCTCATTTCAGGAGCACAGTATACCTCCGCCAGCCTCTCAGATGGGACCAGGACGGAGGGTCTCTCTGGGGCTTCAGGAGCAGAAGCCATGTTTACAGGACTGTCCACCTGCTGGGATGGTGCCTCGCTCTGATCAAGAAAGCTAGTAGCCATTGCTCGTTTCTTTCACCGGGTATAAGTTCAGTTTTACTGTGATTTTGTTTCTGTCTTATTTGATTTGTTTCCTTCATTTTTGTCTAAGACTGAAGTTTCGTTGACGGGAACTTGACAGAGAAGGAGAGGCTCCTGGACAAGGTCCTGTGGGTGTCCCTACAGCTGCTGCCTCCACCCACTCCTGGGTTCCACTCACAGCAGCCATAACTCAG